GTCATTTTCATCCACTACAAATCTCTGTTATGTAAATAAAGAAAGCAAAAATAATAATTTGTATCATTCTCCAGCCAGAGTCTGATTATGATTTGGATGAAACACTGAGAAATATCAGGCTCAGAGGCTATATTTATCTGGATGGGATCAAATCATATCAAAAGCAGATAATCTGAAAAGGAACAAAAAGCTCCAGGAATTCAGTTTATTACAAATCTCTGGACTCCAGTCCCAAGCACAGCATGTCCATATTTAAATGGCTAATATCACAGACTGCTAATTGTCTGGCAACACGTATTTTCTTTAGGGATTTGACACAGCCTACTGAATCTGCCAAACTCTTTGAAAGTCCCTCATTCAGGGAATGAAAGCCATATTCCTGTGTACAGGATCAATGAAGGATTATGCTAAAGCTAATAAAAGCAAAATGAGAAAAAAGAAAAGGTGAATGATAAAGTGATGTTGTGTCCATGGGACTTTTCCAGTCCTCATGGAGAATGTACAGCAAAGTTAGCAGTATGTGCTGTTTCTAGCCTATAGTTTATAAATAGGGCCTTCTTTCCTGCTCCTAAGTCTCCTTCATTTTGCAGTCTTTGTGCTAAAGCATCAGCAACCTTATTCCCTGTTTACTCTGTGTGTAGGCTTGGAGAAGGAAATGCAGTACCAAGGCTGTTGAGCAAACACTAAATTCACACAAATGATGCAAATCACTACTTTAGTGGCAGGCTGGTTCTTGCTTTTGTCAATGGCCAGGCTGGCTGTCAGAGTTGGTTGGCCTACCTTATGTGTTCCATGCAGGGTGCCTGGGAGTGGGTGCCTTCTTCCTGCCTGGTTTCCACTTCTTCCAGAAATCTGGCACTGAATGCCCAAATATTCAAGCACATAAGTATGTGATCATAGAAATGCTGGTTCGCAAGTGAGGGAAATTCTGCTTGTTTGTTTCTCAGAATTTTTATATTTTGCCTGCCTTTGTGTAAGATTTCAAAAGCGGTTTGGCTGAATACACGGAGTTTTTTGTTTGTTTTCTCATTGCATTGATTTTCTTTTCCAAGAGCTATTTTTCTTTCAATAAATGACAACGAAGAAGAGAGCCAAGGCCTAGAATGTAGATGATCAGCAAGGATGATACTGTCATCCTGTGTCAATCAGGTTCTGAGCCTGGTGAATTAAAGAGTCCCATTGGGAACGTCAGTGTTTCATCAAGACCAATTAGTGGAGATGCTTCTGCTTATGTCTAAGCATTAATGACTGGGCAGGACTGCTTTTTGGAGTGCCTGACAATGGCATGGAACAAGGCACCGACCTAATTACTCCTCTACAAGAGCAGAAAATGCCTTGTGAATGCCTGCTTGGCAAGGAAGTCTCATTAAGGCAAAAAAATCCAACATGAGCATTCCTAGGAACAAAAATTAAATTGATAGGTAACCTGCGGCCATGAGACTTGCTCCACGGCTCTGGGAAATGAAGAGACCTGCTATAGGGTGACATGGGGTATATCTGCACTTTATTTCCTAAATCCGTATTTTTAGTCAGCAAGAAGAGAAAGAATGCATGTATTGTTGGAGAACAGTGAAATTTGTTCCCATCCTTGATTTCATTGTTGAATAGTGCTTGACAGGCTTTCCTGTGCTGGCATTGGATAGTTTTGCTAATCTGTTTCTTCAGGGTTTGCAAACTCACCTAAGAATGAAACGTTTGGTAGACCTAAGTGAAGAGCTGATAATGAGGATCTTACAGTCTGTAGCCTCTCTCTCTGCTTAATATGATCAAGAAGCAGACTGTGTTTTTTCAGTTCAAGAGTGTTAGTGTATTTTCAGTCATAACAGTTTTGTTAAAAGAAAACCAGAAGAGTGAGGGAAAACAGCTGCTCAGATATTTCTTGTTCCCTGAGCAGCTCTGTTCACTGCTCAGTTTTAGTCGCTCCTATCCTTTTTACCTTTATATATCTTCTGCTCTGAAGAGTGCCAGAAAATATTAGAAATACAAAGTATGTTGCTTAATTGTGATTTATGAGATAAATGACATGTTGTTACTTCTTTTCTTTGACTGGATGAGTGCACACTTCTAAATACTGAGGTTCATTATTCATCCAGGGGAGGGATGGGGTGGTGTGGGGTGTGCAGCATAGATATTTACATGTCAGGCTTTCACAAAAGGCACATTTTGGGCAAGCTAGCTCTGAAAAAACACTTGCTTGGTACTGCAAGAACAGGTAGGTACTCTCTAGTTAAAGAAGTGTCTGGTACTTTTGCAGATGTGAAGATGTGTTTCTTGAGATGTGCCTTTTTTGGTGGTTACCAACTTATCACAAAACGCTGAGTTGTGTAGCTGTCTTATGAATTGAGTGCATCCTTCAGGATGATTATGTGGCTGAGACATGATCTTGACCTGTGTTATTTCTTTGCTCAAGTCTGCCCCTTTACCTTACTTACTCTTGCCTTGCCTATCTTACTGCACAGAATGTCAGAGAGAAATGAGGTTTTCAACAGCTGCACAGAAGAGTACCTAATACATGCTAAGGTGTAGGTGGCCTGTAGCAGCACTTAAATGCTGCAAGATGCATAATGCCACTTCTTAAATGCTACAGCTTGAGTCTCTGAGCTTGCCTCTCTCCACATAGGTCCTTTCTTCTCAAAAAATTGGGATACAACTTTTTTCCTTCCTTGAGTTCAACGGACAGCACGCTCACACAGCAGGTCCTAAACTCAGCTATTTCAAACCTCACTTGCTTTCAAAAGTGAATGAGCTTAAGGGGGTTTTTAACTGTTACTTGGGCTCTAGCAGATTTTACAGAGAGGGATACCACAAGCAGATGTGGTTTCTTGGAACATCACTTAATTCTCTTGCCTGCGATGCATCCACAGCTGCACTTGCGCTGCATGATTGCCATGTGCTTGGCCTAGAGAGGTTTGCAGGTCTTGAACAGTGTTTTTTCTGTTGCTCTCTTCCTTTCTGATCTCTGACTGAGAATGGAGGCACAGTTGTGTCCCAATTTACCCCACAGAAAAGAGTCAAAATGAAGTTTATATCGTGCGCTAACATGTTGTGAGGCCATCTAGCAGCTTTAACGGCAGTGTCTTACAAACTTTGCTTTGGTAAGACTCTTGCTTCTGTCTCTGTTTTGGTGAAATAATGCTGAGTAATAATGCATGAATAACTGTAGATTTGTTCAGGTAGTCAGGTTTCTTAGGGAGGATATCCAGGATCCAGCATCTACAACATATTTGCCTCTGGATCTATGCACAGCAGCAATCACATCATTAAAGCATTCAGCCTTTAACTCAGCTTTTTACTGTATCTGACTCACCAGGATATGCTATAATGTAATGTAGCATAGAAGTACACAAAAAATCAGTTGTTTATTCAATTTTCACACAGTTCTTATTCAATGTTGAATTCTATTGACTTCAATTGGAGTGTAGCTTCAGAAATAAATAAATAAAATATGAAAGATTTCAAAATTTGGCCTTAATATATTTCCTTCAAAACAACACTTCTAAGCATAATAAAGTACAGGAGACAGAGATAGAAAGAAGAGGGAAATGCAAAAGGATAATTGCATCACTGTACTAGAGCATGATGATAAAGACAGATACGTAGGAATTGCTGTAGCAGAGCTCATTAAAAACTATTTGTCTTACAATATTTTGTGGTTCTATAGCAGTTATCAGCTAAAGATCTTGGAGCCCTCTGCAGGCTCCACCTCATTCTGGCAGTGTCTTCTGTGAGGTGCTTATTATATTGTCTTTTTTCTATAGGCAGGGAAATAAATAGGTCAGGCAAAATGACTTTTCTGCAATTGCCTGTTTGGCCTGAGTTACATATGGGGCTAGAACTGGGAACAGTTAATTTTCACTTCATCTTACTTCAACCAGCATATAAATTTTCCCCTTTTTCTGCTGCTTTCCCTCCAGTCGTCTTGTAGAGAAATATTTCAGTAGAAGGAAACATGTCATTCAACTCCTGATGAGATTACTGCAAAATGGTTAGAAAACCCTTTGGAGATCACAGTCGTGGATGGTCCACTGTCGAAACAGAATAATATACTGAGTGGGCATTTGCAGAGATCTCTTATATTTGGTACTCTTGATTATTTTTATTCTTTGACTGCAGGATGGAAGAGAATATATATGTGAAATCTGTAAACCTCTCAAAATTGGGAGGCACTGCACGTGTTGTGAAGATCAGGAATACAATGCAGACTGATTTTTAATGAATCAGAAGAATAGCTTGAAAGGTAGAATGCAGTTCAACAGAGCCATGTGCAAACAACCAAATTCAGCTTGGACAGATAAGGTACCCAAATCCATGCTGGGGAGCAAACAGAAAGGCAGAAAAGGGGCCTAGAAAAAGGGACCTAGGCACCATAAACAGTTCTCACTATCAAGCTCCTAGTCATCAGTCTACAGTTTTTCCAAAAGAGTAATGATATTTTGTAAAAAGCAAACATCTGGGATGTATAAAACATGTAGCCTGTGAGAAACATGAAGTAATTGTTTGATTATTCTGAGAATTACTAAAAACTCTTTTGAAGTTTTGAACGCTGTTCTTCAAGGAAGACATGAACCAAGTGAAGAGAATTCAGAGGACAGCAGTGAAAAAAAGTCTTGTCTAGACAATTTGTCCCACAGAGAAAAGTTAGAATAAATTGGAGGTAGTCTATCTGAAAGCAAACAAGAATCTACAAATGCATAAAGGTGGACAGTACTATGTGTGTAGTGAACAGGAAAGACAGATCTCAGATCAAATTTTTCAACAATAAAGAAGTAGTATACCTGTCAGGAATGCCACATTTCCCTGTACTGTGAGTGGAGATGGAGTAAATGAGCTTTTTGTAGCTTCTGCTTTTGCTGATTTGAAATATCCCAGTGCTAGTGTCCATGCTTGTAGTTAGGTGTACTCTTTGAGCAGGTGACTATTTATTTAAAGAAAGTGGTCATAAGGATACTGGACAAGCAAGTTATACTAATTTGCTATGTTTTAATTTGTTTTGCCATCAGGTGAAGTTGGGAGGAGAAGCCCCAAACTCCAGTGTAATCCACATAGCCAAGGACAGTGATGGCAGCAGTAGCAGCTGGAAGAGTGTTGGTAGCAAGTGTGGAGCCAAATGCCACCTTCTGGATTTTGCCAACTCTGAGAGGCCACTTGTGGTCAACTTTGGTTCAGCTACCTGACCACCATTCACAAGCCAGCTGTCAGCCTTCAGCAAGCTGGTGGAGGAGTTCTCTGGTGTGGCTGACTTTCTGTTGGTCTACATCGATGAGGCTCATCCATCAGATGGCTGGGCTGCCCCTGGCATCTCTTCCTCTTCATTTGAAGTTAAGAAGCACAGGAACCAGGAAGACCGATGTGCAGCTGCTCATCAGCTCCTAGAGCACTTTTCCTTGCCGCCGCAGTGCCAAGTGGTGGCTGACTGCATGGACAATAATGCCAATGTGGCCTATGGGGTTTCATTCGAGAGAGTATGCATTGTGCAGAGACAAAAAATTGCCTACCTGGGAGGCAAAGGCCCCTTTTTCTACAATCTGCAGGAGGTTCGGCTTTGGCTGGAACAAAACTTCAGCAAAAGATGAAATCCACTCTCTGCAGAAGTTGTGTCAACAGATGTGTCCCTTTAAGATGATGTAAAAGGGAAGAAAACATATGCTGGTTTGAATAAGGCCTTTCAGAAGATTGCAGGAGAACACATTTGATAACAAGGTCAAATGCATGTTAACTAGCAAAATAAAATAAAACGATAACCCAACTACACAGAAACATTATTGTATGAAAAAAAATCCCACTCCTGCGCCCGCTACAGGACAGAAGAGGTAAAGAGGCGTCTGCAAAAAGGTGCTGCTTGTGAGTGGAGATAAAAGACCTGTCTTGCAGTAACCTGTCTTACGAAGCATCGGCTCTAGGGTGAGCCAGAGGTGCTGCTGCTGGGAAGGCAATCCATTGAAAGGCAATGCTGTGCATTTCACCGGAAACTTTTCTTTACCCTCCTGCAAGTGACCTGGGAGGAGCCAGGGGGCTTGAAATTACTTTGCACAGAAATGCAGTGGAGTGTGTCTCTCTCGGTAGAGATTTTATTGTTCAGAGGCTGCAAGAACCACCATACAGTGCATCCTGCAGGCAGATTGTCTGCTGAGATCAAGATGAAACATTGTATGCTGATATTTGTACTCTCTATGGACACATCTGCATATCATATTAATTATGTCATTCTATCTGTATGTTTGTACTCAGTACACAAGCCTGTGCATGTTGAGAAAGATGTTAAAATCTACGGAGTTGGACCAAAAAGACAAAGGTCATCAAACAAGCCCATTACAATTTGAAAACTAAAAGCGCTGGACTATTTGTTACAGAACTGTGAGAACCACCTAAATCATGCATCACAAGACAAAGCTCAGCTAATGCCAACCAACCCTCGGTTCTCAGAGCTGACAACACACATTTATTAATATTCTCTGGTTCTCTTTGTTTCTTTACTCACCTCAACCTCCTGTCTAGCAATAGGCTTAAATGTAATTTCATTTTTATCTTTAAAAAAAATAACTTATTTCTCTCTTTTATTTTTATTTGAGGTAATGACTTTACAGATGTATTTTAGGGAAGGGGGAATTTATGCACAACTTTACCTCATTGAAATGGAAACCTATACTCTCTTTTATCCTGTTAATTGTAGTCACACTGATTTTTGCTATCTTAGTTACCTACAACTAGTTTATAGCTAAATTAGATTGTTTGGAAGTTCAGTTGTTTGCAGCTTTAGAACTGATTAGCTGCAGTTCTGCTATTAGATGGGTTTGTTTCACTCATGTTCTCAAAAGCCTTCCCAGAGACACAGGGAGGACAAATAGTGTGAATTCATGTGAATAAGTGTAAAAGATGGCAGAATTTTGTACAAATGGCTCTGAGGAATTATTAATTATGTTTAAAGAGATACTGTCAACTGAAAGTATGCATTAAGTTTAGGTATTTCTAAAAGTAAAACGATTTACTCAATCCTGGTGAAAAGGCAAGTTTGCAATGTGCTAACCCATTAGAGCTGATAAATGAAAACCTATAAGGAGATGGACTATCCAATTTTTCTCTCAATTTGGGTGGAAACATGAAACAGATAAACAGGATTAAGTAACAAAAATCAAATTAGTTCTTCTAATTTCTTATCCTGCCAGTTGTCAGGAATGTGATATATTAATACTAGCATAGGGAAGAACAGAAAATACATACATAAACATTTTCATTCTCACAATTTCCTTTTAATATTGTGTATTTCTTCTTTTTTGGCTGTTGGTCAACTCAGCCAATGTACATTCGGAAATGTGTTTTCAAGTGCAGAACTCAAATGACAGTGATTTCTCCCATATTCACATTCATGCTTCCCTTCCTGTTCATGTTTTCCTCAACACACAGTTAAACATACACACATACTTCCACAGTTGGTAATGTGTATCAGAGAAAGGTGTAAAGAACAGTCTTCAGACTTTCTGGTGAGCCCCACTTCCCAGAAGGCACGTATGCATGGGTATATGTATGTATGCATTTATGTATGCATAAATATATCTCATAAATTTTTATGTATGTGTATGCATACACATGCACCACAGTGGTGTCCAAGACCAATAATAACAATTATTCTGTCCTCCCATTCATTAATGTTGCTGTAACTTGTTCAATATGGAAGATTATTATACATCTGCATGAGTAACTGGACTGTACAGCTGAAATTTTTAAACCTAATATCAGAGAAACAGTAACATAGTTAAACTACATGCTTTATTTAATCCAGTGTCCTACCTCTGACTGTATCAGATGCTTCAGAGGAAGGTGCAGTAATTCCTTCTGGATTTTTCGTTAGCTTCATCCCCTTTTCTTTTGTCCTGTCTAATGTCATTGTTGGTGTCTCACCATCCCTATGAGAGACTGATCCTAAGTTTTGAGATCTAAATTGAGGTGGAGAATGCCAAAATAAAAACCCACTATATTTAAGAACAAAGAAAACCAAATAAAAACAGATTTTTTTTCAGATTTAAATTGACTGCTCTCCAATGTCACTCTCAGCTCTTGCTCTTATATGCTAAACCAGTATAAATAGGAGTGATCTCAATTTTTCTCCTGTAGGCCAGCGATTATATGCTCTATATGGAAAACTACATATTTTTTTTTGCTTCTTAAGCCAAACAATAATTCGCATCCTTATGCAGGTCTGTATTCTTTGCCTGTCTCTGAATCCCTTCTGGTTTTACTACACTGTCTTTTTACTCAGGTGAGTAAAGATCTAGATGCTACTCCAGGTGAAAATATGCTTTCATACACCCAGCACAATATATTTTTCTTATTATATCCTATTCACCTCAAACCTTACTAATCTGTAGCAATCCATAGCAACTCCATAGTTTTTGTAAAACTTAAACTAGTAAGTCTTTTTCATCCTTTTTTTTCCCCATCACACAGTTGAAGTTTGAACTGTTTGTCTGGAAAATGCTAGCCAAATGTTTAGCACAGCTGTTGAAACATACCGTTAGCTCAGAGGAGTGAGCCGAGTTAGTAATTCAGTTAGTTAATATCCCTTTGCATATCTAAAGTATTTTTAAAGTCCATTTTCTCTTTTTTGAATTTCCATTTTTTTGTGTGTTATTCATAGTTGTCTGTTCATCACATAGGATAAAGGAATTATAAAATTTGCTTCTGCAAATGGGAAGTCCACAGTGATTTTCCACAAGAAAAAATACACAAGAACTTCATTTCTTTCTTGGCAAAATGAATGCCTTACCCTGCCCAAAACGTAAAGATAATTCATTCCAACTGATTATCAAGCAGAAATATATTCTGCAAATCCTTAAATTTCTCCAGAAAATTTATGGTCAAAAGCAGGAAAAGTATTTCAAAGAGAAATGGGTTTTTATAAAATATCTTTAGTAAGTGGCTAATAGAAATAAAAGCTCTTCATTTTTGTTTTTTTTTTTTGTTAACAAATCAGAATATTTTATAGAAAAGGTTTTAAATTAAACTTCATGCACCGTCCTCAGTTAATGATAGAAATAGCCATATGTCACATACCCCAGGTAACAGTGGGTTGGTTTGAGTTCAGGCAGAAATTTTGCTATCTTGCTAGCATTGTACTTAACTCTTGTCCTAGTCTGTTGTGAGGCTGAATTTGCTTTTGTCTGTTATTCTCACTTTTCAGGGCACTAAAATCATATTACTCGAGGTGCTTCAGTATGACATGCATATTGAGCAATAGCTCACAAAATAGCTGCCCTGAAAGCATTCTGGAAGGCCACTGTAATAGAAACTCCAATACTGTGTCTCAGCATTAGTATGGGAAACTTCCAGTACTTTTGCATTTTGAGCAAGGTAAAAAGCTATTGTGTGCTATTATCCTACACTGTTCCATGCTTAGCATCATTATTTAACACTGTATAAAGTGAATGTAAAACATTTTGTACAGATGAAAACGATAACATTTTGCTCTTGCTTGTGTAGACAATGACATAAATTTAAGCCAGCAGGAAAACATGCACTATTAAAAAGAAAGAAATATGTTATAAAATATATTGTTGAACAACTGTCTGAACACTTTGAAAAGAAAAAAAAAATAGCAATCATTTTTATGAAGGTGATCTTGGTGGGGGAGCCCATAAAGCTTCTCAAAAAGCTATCAGTGCTATGTGTTCAGGTGTGTGTGGGGAAAGTGGCTTTTCTGTGATGTGGAGTGTAGCTTTCTGTATGTGTGAAAGTGGCTTTTTTTGTGGTATGGAGTGTAGGTTTAAGAGTTTTAAAGACTTTCATTCAGTGCTATAACCAAAGCAATAAGTGGTATTGGGTAGGGAATATTGGCCAGTTTTGTTCAACTCTACACCAGTCTATGCTGGATCCATATTCAGTGACCTTTCTGCCCAGTTTGGAGGCTTTAGAGAAGAGAGACTGGGGTGAGACAATGAATGCTTGTGTGCTTATGAAGATCACTAACAAAAGAGTAATTAACTCAGTTGGTGTTCAGATGCCCTCACATTGGCATTCTTCTGTGCACCTTAGTGTTTCTGTATTTGAAAGAGGAGTCTCTTTGGGGCTGCTAGTAAGATCACTGGGATGTAGGTGCCTGTGTGTACTGACTATGTGTGTGTATGTTGTTTAAATGTCAAAAATACACTTTGCAGGAGAGCCAGCAAAACTTTGTTACAATATGGTGCTCCATGAAATGTGCTTTCTAGATTTGTTTTTATTGTATTACAATAAATTGTAAAGGAAAATATACCTCTTCTGTGTCTTCTTACTCTAATATTGATTATTAATATGCACTGGAATCTTGACATTAGATCAAGGAAACTTAGAGCTGTATTTAATACAATAGTCTATGCCACCCTGAGTAGATCTTAAACAATATGAGCAAATCCCATTATAAATGGTGGGACTGAAGAGTTAAAGAGTTTGATCACAGAGAAATCAACTTCAGCTAATCTGAATATTATTTCCATGATTTGATAAATTACTTGACTCACTGTATATGCCTGTGTACTTCTAATGTTCATGTTAGTGAATCCACTGGCTTAAATGTATCTTACAGAGGTAATGTGAAGTGGAAACGCATTGAGTGAACATCCAGTTCAAATCCACCTTATTCTGCATGGCTGCCTCACAGGTAGTCTGTTTAATGTGAAAGTCTGTGCATGTGTTTCTAGGGACATGCCAACACACACAGTGCATACAGGGTCTGCATCCTCTAAATAGCATGTTCTGGCTGTACCTGCAATTGTGCTTGTTGGAGCACAAACGTAAAACAGACACATGTGGGCTGCAGTATGGATATTGTATTTTCTGTCCAGAATGCCACGTGTAAATATTTCTTGCAGAAATATGTGAATAACTTGCTTCACTTTCTTCTTCTACAGCAGTGTCAAGATGCCATGTCCTAGCTGTTCCTCTGCTTCCCTTGGCCACACCAAACTAAGTATTAATAAGATATTCTAATCAAGGATCCAAAGACATCAGATTTCCTAGTCCACATAAAACATTCTTCCTTATTCAGTGGGTTGGATGGGAAGGAAGACGGGTTTCAAACACCGTGAGTTTCCAGGGCTGTTGAACAAAGGGACAGATGAGCTCCCAGGACCACCACACCCCCATTCCTGCACACATACGTGACCTGAAAGTTAAAATGGTTAAACTGTAAAAGATAATTTTTCAGAAGAAACTCATCTGACATTCCCCTCTCATAATGATAAAGGTATATCCAAAGAAAGTCTTAAGTTTAAGCAATAAGACTTAAGCAACAATATTTTAATGATTAACCAATAGCACTCACAAGTCTGGTTAGTAAGCTGGCTTTAAACAGTTGAATTTCAGTGTGATGCAAACAACTGAATTATTTTTATTGTTAAGGTTTGCTGCAAAAAAGTTTGGCTGAACCTCTAAACAACTTTTATATTTAATTTAAGGGCTTCAATTCACCATGTGAAGACACCAGGAACTTAGGCACTTGGTGAATCAGATTTAAGCTAAGCATCTGGCACCAGTTTGACTCTGGAGCTAGTGCTCTTACCTGTAAGACCAAGCCCTGTCTGTGTAGTTTTCAACCATGAGGAACCCCAGATTAAAGGCTGTCTGGCAGATGGTTTTCTCAGTGCTATAATACTAGAATAGCTTCTGCATATGTTAGGTAGACCAAATAATATTTTCCATATAGTGAAGCTGTGTGATTGACCTTTGTATTTCTCAAGTAAAAAGGGCTTGCCATGGTATAACATTATGATTACTGACTAAACTCAAAATTTTCTCAAGCAAGGAGCATTAACTTCTTGATGTCCTTATTCCTAAGGTTGTAAATAAAGCCAGGTAAGTGTCTGATAATCCAAACTCAAGGAAAATAAGAAGTATAACTGAAGACTGGTTCACTAATACATGCTTAACATAATCATGCAAACTGGTACACTTTCAGTTGGCTTTCCTTTTTCTGTTTATTTGGCGAGGGAGAGTGTTTTTGGATTTTTTTTTTTTTTACCTGGGAAGATATTACAAAACTGTAAGCACAGGACTAATATTTAGAAAAAAGGTAATTGAAAATCAGAAAACAGATGTGCTCTACCTGCAGCACTTGTCAGAACTTCTCTTGCTTTGTTCTTGACTACAGACCCTTGGAACTTGTGTTGTTCTGCAGTATAAGAAAGGGGTGTGTGTCAGAGAAGATCAAAGAAGAGAGCTAGCCTTGGAATCAGAAGTGGAAGAGTAGAATATATACCAAATTAGCCCTTTCTTCAGCTCAAGCTGTTGGATGTCTTATTCCTGCAGACTTATTAATGAGTCCTTGGAGTGTCTCCTTAAAAAACAAAATGTAATTGCCTTCAAATTGACTTCTTGGGCAGCTCTTCAAGTTTTCTTCAAAAGATCAGACCTTTGACCATACAGACACACATGAAACAACAGCTGAACTTGCCCTAGGTAGGATAATAATTACAAGACATATTAGATCTCATATGTCTTTAGGTCCTATCTCACGTGGAAGAGCAGGTTTGGGAAAACAGCTAAAGAATGGTTTTGACTGTTTCTGCAATACATTAAAAGTATTTTGTTCATTTTTTTCTGATTCATTGGTTGGTATCAGTGAGAGGATAAGAACACTCAGCTGACCACTGGTTGGTTCTTCTTCATGTTGTCCTAACACTTCTGCAGTTACAGGTCCAACCCCTCTAGATGTCCTGTTGCAAACTGGCACCGGATTGTCCCTCACAGTACATTTTCTGGGGCTTTCTCCATTCCCATTTTAAGTGGTAACACTTGACTGCTTTAAAATACTATTTACAAGTTCTGTTACCTTCATATGAAAGTTTCTGTTTTTTTTTTTCTAAATGACAGGATAAAGCTTTATTTCCCTTTTCTGAATTTTCTGAGACACCCAATCTCCCTTGTTACTAACTGAAAATCATGCAAACAAACCACATACATTTATCCAGGCTGTCATCCAGCCCAATTCTCCTAAGTTTGCTGTTTCTCAGCCCTTTGCTTTAAACCTTAGACCACACTGCCTAGTCCAAAATCTATTTAAAATATCACTTATGTATAAATAAGGTTTAGAGCAGTCGTAGGACTTTTAAAATCTCAGGTACGAAAATCAATAGTCAATATTCTGTCTTTGTGTTTTGCAAATCCAGGAGCCATTTGCAAATATCATCCAGGTTTTGCTCATCCAAATTTTGTTTGGGATACAAACAAGCAGGCACTTTGTGCTAGCCTATCCTCTGTTTAAAGTAAGAAAATCCCAGATCTGTTAAAGTTGCCACTGTAAGTTTTTGGAGGAAAATGGTAGTTCAGACAGAATACTGCATAGCAAATACTCACTGAATATCTTATGCTCTGGAAGTTACTTGTAGGGTGTTGGTTGATACTGTTGACATTTACAATAAATATTCAGTTTTTCTGCCTTATTCCCATGAAAGATGAGATTTTTTCCTTTTTACCACTACTTGAATATTACTCAGGGGAGCAAGTGAAGCATGCTCCTTTGGGTGACTTTGTTATTTAATCTGTTTCTTGCAACACTCGATACTTTCTCTTTCAGTACTAATTCTTCCAGGTCTGCCACTATTCCTGGACAATTCATTGTGCATTTATGCCCTTCAGGATCTCTACCTTTCATGCAACAGGCACATGTAGTCCTTGTTGTTTAAGCAGCGTTCAGATCTGTGGGCATTTTTCTGGGAGTTTGGTTTTTCTTTCCAACAAAACTGGGCAGCTGCAGGAAGTCATATGATCAATGGCCCAAAAGTTAGAGCAGTGCTCTTTGAATTGGTATTTCACTAGAGATCCTCTAACACAAGCCTGGAAGCGGCTGCTGCCTGGCAGGCCTCGATGACCCTGGGCACTGCTGAATTTCTGTTAAGCTTGCACAAGAGTAGTGGTATTTCCCCACTCTCTTTCAAAATATTAGTTTGCACAAGTCCCTTGTATTTGACCATCTCTTGCCAGGCTGGGAATTCAGTTCTACTTATTACAAGTTCAGTCCTGACTGGGCTTTCACATGACATTTGGGCACAGGCCAGCTCTCACTGCATTTCTGTAGCAGGTGGTTGGAGGACAACTGCTGCTAAGCTGTTTCTCAGTGTTGTTTTGATAACGCTGTGCTGAGTGCTGCCTGGGTGTCACGCTCACTGCTGAGCTGTACGTGGAGGAAGGGTCAGAGAAAGTGGAATTGGCATAATCCTGACCCAAACCTGGGTAAATAGTGCATCAGAAAGCATTGCCAACCTAGAGAAGACCTAGTGAGTATGTAGTCCATGGCATAAAACCAATCAGTACTATCAGGACCTGTGGTCACATACAGTGACCGAAGTACTGCTGTTTGCCTTGTGGGTTCTCTATTTGTAAGGACTACATATTTTGTTATTTTTATCTGACTCCTGTGAAACTGCCTGACAATGTTTCTTTTTTCTTTAATTTTCTTTTTTCTTTATTTTTTTTTTTTTTTTAATTCTGGGCATAACATTTTCAAATGTTACCTTCCTTTACTCCTCACCGTCACACATGCAACCCCATACATCAAAAGACATCTCATATGTTGAAGGGCTGATTTTCTCAAGAGTTCTGCTCCCATACAGGTAAATTCAAAAATGATCAGATTCCCAGAGGAGCCTGCCTCACCAGTTTTATTAACAGGAAGTAAATGGGAGTGAGATTCTGCCACTGGAGTTTTGGGGGGTTTCTGAGTATGCAAAATTTGAGAGCTTTGCTTATTGCTCCATCAAACAGACACTAAGCCACAATCAAAAATATTGGTAAATCATATAAGAAGAACCTGGACTTCAGGTGACAGGCATTAAAGAAAATTCAGCATGCTTGTCTTTGAATGGCAACAGGCTCTGTGTCCCTTTCCTGGATTATGTACTGCCAGAGCTATCTTGAGTTTCTTCTAATCTGCAGCCCAGAAAATGTGGAAATCTCATCAGACATGTTAAATCCATCCTTTCCTGTGTGGCTGTCTTTCAGTGAATGCCCCCCGTGTTTGAACTGTCTCCATGGCAACTGAATGCCTTGTTCAGGGTAGAAAAGTGTTGTTGGTTTGTTTTTTGGTTTTTGCTTTATTTTTTTACTGAAGAGATAAGGTGAAGCTTACACCTAGCCAATAAAAAGTACTTGTCTGTAGTAACCAGGACCTGATCTGACCGTCTTCAGCTGGTTTTGGTGAGTAGAAAGACATGTGCATGAATTACTTTGAACAAATGAGACATCCTCAGGTGCTAGTGCTATAGGGTTATTTTTGTTAG